ATAAGGGAAGGCAGAGGGGGGCCGATGATCTTGCTGGCTGTATTCACCATGCATTGCCTTCTGAGTCCTTCTGCAGGAGGCAATACAACCTCCGTACCACACAGTGATGCAGCCAGTGATGATGCTATCAATGATGCCCCAGTAGAAAGAATACACAATGGGGGGGTGGGACACTAGCTCTCCTCAGTTTGCGGAGGAAGTAGAGGTGTGTTTGATCTTTCTTGGCCAGTGATGTGGTGTTGTTGGTCCAGGGGAAGTCCTCAGAGATGTGCACCCCCAGGAACTTGGTACTGCTCACGCTCGCTCCTGTAGTTGGCCTCATCATTGTTGGTAATGAGGCCAACTACAGTCGTATCATCTACAAACTTGACAATGTGGTTGGTGCTGTAGATTGGCACACAGTTGTGGGTCAGCAGTGTGAAGAGCAATGGGCTGAGCACACACCCCTGTGGAGCCCCTGTGCTCAGCATGATGGTCTTGATTTTGATAAGTGGGTAAGACTGATTTTATTCTAATGATTATCCAACTGTAGCAGAAATAACTACTTATGAAAGTGAATATTAATATTTAATATTCAAATACCTGGTTAGATTAGGGCACCAGATAGTTATAGTTCCATCAAACTATTAAACAATTATTTAGAGTAATTAAATTAGTCTAAGTCTGATAGGAGTGAATCCTACCAGTTCAGGGACCTGTTTACTGGAGACCAGAGAGACCAAGGATGCCTTAAAGAAGCCAGTTATAAAATAAATAAATAAATGTATTTAAAATATGTACACAGGGAAAATGATTGGGATGAAAGATGTAAGGCAAATGATACATTTGTGGATGCTCTCATGAATGAATGAATGACTACACTTTCTGTTGTTAGAAATTGTGAATGATTGTCATTTTGGTCAGAATTTGAACTAGATTCTATATTTAAACTCGGAGAATTTACCCACAAATCTCTGCTGTTGAAATGCAAGTTGACAAATCAAAAGCAGTTTTTGACAGAGTGAGTGAGCTGTTCATATCTGCAAGGCACATACACATCCATGTGTCTGTCTCACACACACACACACCAGCACCTACACACCATTTGCCTTACTGGTGCACACACTCCACTCATTAGCACAGGGACACCATGTGTTTGACTGACTCAGCATGTTGGAGGAGGTGACTTGGCAACTGTAGTGAGCATGTTCTCTCTGCTCCTTTGGTTTCTCTCCTCCTTATTCTCACTGCTTGCCTCTTTCAGTTGTGCAAACTTTATAGTGACTGTCAAATTTATTTTACAACTAGGAGGGATATTCACTAAACTCGTTGCAAATCACTGTCAGGTACACAAAATATTGCAGCACTGCAAGTTTGAAGTTTAGCAGCGTATTTACCAACACTGATGATGTAAATAAGCACAGCTGCAGCTGTTAGTTTAAGTCCACCTCAGCTTTGAAGGCTGTTGTGCAGTGTGGGCTGTAAGTTTACAGTGACTGAACTTTAATATGGTTGAAGAAATCAACAAATGCATTTTGGAACTCCAATCATGTAGTCTTCTATGAGTCAAATCATTTTTTAATTTATTCAGTATCTGTAGCAGGCTTCCACCTGAAAGCCTGTATAATTCCCACACTCATATTCTCCTCTGGTGGAGGATGCAATTTACAAACACCTTCTCCCTCCTCAAATGTGTTCTTAACTCCAACAAGGTCTCGGATGACTAACAGCTGCCACACTGGCAGCAGGACTGCAAATTTTACACATGCTTTCTCCTGACATTAAATTTCAGCTGTGGTTCTCTCTGCCACAGTGATGGAAAATCAGGTGCATACATTTCCATTCTCCCATCCCTAATTTTTGTCACATGATGAGACCAAACATGGAAATTCCTGCCATGCCACTTTTCTTATGTTTATCTGCCACAAAACCCAATTGTAACTCATTAGAAAATATTAACACAAGCAATTTCAGTTTAGCGCCAGAAAATGAGCCGCAAAACCTTAGTAAATATCTCCCTAGGTATCCTCCTAAATGATGCTAAAAATGCTTCTTATAACCTTTTTCACCAAGCTGGTGAGAGCAACTTTTACTAAAGAGTAAATAGAGGTTTTCCACCATGTGAATTTAACAAGCCATAACCTGGAGTTTCTCATACCCAGTGGAACTTGAAGGACTGATGCAGTGCATTGTGCTTTGGTTTTCCAATGTATTTCTCCCTGTGTCAGTCACTGTTTACACAATGGCTGGGCTGCTCTTCTCTCTACACAGCTAAGCAGAGGGAATCCAGTCAGTGACCATATGCTAATCATGTGTGCAACAAATCTGCCAGTAACAGAGACTGTATGAGCTGCTTGTTCAAGAGCTGTGGAGCAAGCGGAACACAAACTTGCAAAAACTTGACATCATCACTTTGTCCTCAGTCAACTTGCTGAAGCCCTGCCTTACCTGTAAACCAGTATAAATGTATGTTCATACATTGCGCTTGTTATGCTAATACTAGGTATGAAAATGTTGACATAGGCACCAGCCATGTCAACCCCCATGCCACCCCCATATGAATACTTGGAACTTGATTTAGTACTACCTCCTGAGGGGTGCCAGAATGCAGCTCCTGGAGCTCATCTCCCAAGCAGGTGAAGGACAGTGGAGAAAAATGCAAAACCTGTGATGAGGGGTACAAGTTTTGCTATGAGTTGCTACAGTAGGATCCAACAGTAAAAAAGATCTCCAATAATATTTTTCCTGTCTCAGGAACCTAACAAAATGTGTTGAGCCGTGTAATGCAGGTCACAAGTTCTGCATTTGTTTCCACTATGAACTTACTTTGGAGGTACATTCCAGCACTCCTCAAGATGTAGTACTAAAATGAAGTTCCAGGAACCCCTCAAGGAAGGGGGTGTGCATGCGTGCACAGCAGTAATCTGGTTGGCTTAATGTCTGCTCTTCACACCTTTTAGCTCCTTTTAGCATTACAAGCACCACGTGTAAAGAGGCACTTATGGTTTAAAGGGAAAATGAGGACTTCACTTGTTGGTTTTGGGGTAAAATGGGGACTTCAGTAAGTGGAACACTGGCAAAGCGGTGCTGACATCACATTTCTTCAAGTGAGTTCTGCTTGATAACTTGCTCATATAGTTTCCTTTACTGGCTTATTTTGCTGCATTAAGGAGAATTGTGATCTCTGACTCACATGAGCTATGTGGATTCTTGTGCTTGCTACATAGTGAGGACCAAAAAAGTATTCTTAGCAACAGAATGAGGACATTTTGGCTATTCCTTACTTTCTGAAACACCATTTTGAGGGTTAAGACTTGGTTTTAGGGTTCAGGTTAGACATTAAGTTCTGATGGTTAATATTAGGGTAAGGCACTACGGAATGCATTATGTCGAGTGTCCTCACAAAGAAAAAAGCACAAGTGTGTGTGTGTTTGGGAAATGCAACACCAAACTGATCTAAACAGAGACTGACAAATGTGAAAAAGCAAAGCAGAATGGTCCACATCAACCCGTGAGGTTATGCCAGGTGAGAGCTATATTAAGTATAGGGTATACTGCTCGTTAGGTTCCGATAACAGAAATGCAGCTACAGTATATTGTGTCAGCGTGTGATATTTTGTCAGTGAACAACTCTACACAGGGTAGTTCTAGATATTGCACCAATTTGACCAGTGTTAGGTGATGTCACTGTTCTGGGCAAGAAAACTCAAAAGCAGGCTCAAAAGGTTGAAACCCGATAAACCTTTGTTCAGAAAAAGGAGATGGAGGAGAGGAGACAAGGAAGTGGTGGTTGGCCAGCAGGTCCGGCTGGGTAGATGCTGAGCGGAGTTCCTGCGGGTGCTGGTGAGTTCAGGCGGAGGAGTGGCGGCTTGGATGTGCTGGTTGTAGGTCTGGGGATGGTCGGGTCGATGTTGAAGAATACCGAGCCACCAGGGGAGAGGTGTTGTAGCTAGCCTGGTGGCGATGTAGAACACCGGTGAACAGGGTCTCAGAGAGATGACCTTTCTGTGTCAAAGAAGGCAGGGTAGTTGAGGGAGAGATGTTGACAAGGTGCTGGCAAGAGTAGGAACTGGTGATGGCCATCTGACACCAAGGCCTCAATGCATGATTCAAGCTCAGAGAGGGATCTCCCGCGAACCACTGCCTCGAGGATTGTATCGCTGCCGAAAAGACACGTGACTGATGACGTCTGACGCAGAAATGGCTGGCCTGAGTGACTCCCTGACCGGTTCAAACTGTTGATACAGTGTCATGGCGCGAGATCTCTCTGTGCGCGTCAGCAGGTGCATAGGTGTAGGGGTACTATAAAACCACCCAAAATGATGCACAACATGTGGGTTTGTCGGCGTAGCATGTGTGTGCGTAGTTGCTGTCGGTATGATCATTGCTGCTGGTGTGCGATCACCATGGAGCCAGTTAGGAGTAAAAATGATTGATTCTCCATCCCTTGGATTTATTCACACCCTGTCCTAGTTACATACGCACATATTACAATCTTAGCACATCCTCTGTTTCCCCAAGCACACCTTCTCCCACCTAATACACTACATACGTTCATAGACTCGACTGACTGACCAATCAATCTTTACAAATATTTTCACATCATTCACACGAAGCCTAGTTACACCCATCACATAATTCAGACATTGTTCTGCTGCATCCTATTTCACCACCAGATGGCACTAAACCTTTGAATGAATGAACCAATACTTGACACAAATGATGAAGTGGTTCGATATAGGTGTCATGGTGTCAATTGGACATCACTAGTAGGAACAAAGGACCACTGGGAAGAACATTCACTAGAGGCCATCTAGATGTGGCAAGAGCAACTAGCTGAATGGCAAGGGTGACACAGCTGAGCCCCGGCTAAATACTGGCAGCACTGATGGAGCTGATTAGCGTCACCTGTGCCACTCCTTGCCAGCTATCACCCCACAGCACACTAGATCTACCCAGGGGAAGGGAGAGCTAGAGAGGGATAAGCCAGTACATTACAACCGCAAACACTGAGTGCCATGAAATAAGCTTTATTTATTTTTTGCTGTTGTACAGTTCATATACTGTTAAACTATCTGAAATCTAAAGAGGACATTTGGTTTATTTTTAATTCTATCAAACAGCGGAGACCATCAGCACTGCAAACAGCAGTGCATAGTGAGTAAACCTTGCTGTTATTTTGTTTTGACTTGTTGGGGAGCTTTAAAAATTCACTGACATCAAAATAAAAATGTTACTAATTATTTCAAAACATAGGTGCAACATTGCAAATTTTAAAGCTAAAATGCTTTGACAATTACCAAAATCACCTCTGGTGGAGTCTTAAAGTCAGGACTGACACATTTACCAGTTTTAGGAGCTTCTCCTGTTTCATTTAGCAGCTATATTTAGCTCTAGGATGATTTGTTAAAACACTCCTTGGTATATTTTGTCTCAGGTCATCCACACTGGCCTTCTTGTGGTAAAATTCTTATATTTTACCTTTTGCTATTCAAGGAAGATCACAAGTGTCATGGTGACAGATTTTCTTATGGAACCATCTAGGGTGCTTTACTGGTGACTGCCTCTGTTGATACTGCTATTGTCCTCTTCTACATAGCAGTCTCAGTCTCAGTAGCTGGGAGTTAAGCACCTTGCTCAGTGACACCTCAAACAACTTCAGGATACAAACTGTATGAACAGGTCCTGGCTGTGTTTGCTTGGTCCTGTGGTGGATGAATGCAATGTTTCAGCAGCAGCTTTCTCCCCTGTTGTTGTGGTCCTCAGAGTCCACCTGAGGAGTAACATGTTCCTGACATGTGGGGTGAATCTGGTCCAGACTAGACTGAACTGATAGAATCTCTTGCACCAGTCTCCTGAAACACCGCATATTTAATGACATTAGTGAAATGTACATCCTATTAAATTGGAAATTGATCAAATATGCAAATTTCTAATACTGTATCTAAACATATACCATGTGCAAAAGGCTATACCAATAATAAAACCCTGAAAGGCTGCATTAACAAAAGCCTTTTCAAGCTTCCCCAATCTCTTAGAATGTTGCGTCACATGCAGGTTGATAATGCAACATATAGCCACACTGTGCAAGACGGTTCATTATATACTATGAGATTATTTGCAGTACATAAAATAAAAAGAAGCCTTTTTAAACAGAATGAAGCAGCATTTCCAGTTAGAACAGGAACTGGTAGTGGGCTAAACTGAGGAGAAATTATTCAAGAAGTCAAATGTTTGAAGAATCTTTGTTTTAAATGCAATAAATGTTTTAAAATTATAAAAAAAAATGATTTGCTGCTTTGTTGTTTCCTGCTTGTTTTGATGCCAACCTTCAACATCTTATGTGACATTCATTTAAGTTTATTCATAACTTTTTAACAGCAAACTGAGTACACTCTGAGTTGCTGTATAGTTTGTTTTACTGTCTGCCTGTCAGAGTGATGACGAAGGCTACCACCTCCACATCATTTCTGACTCTAGTGTACACCCATCTGTGATAATCTGTGATCAAGAAACAGGAAGTAGGCCACTTGTCATGATTCCTGTCTCAGTACTATACTCCCCGTATCAGTCGCCTAACTCCCAGACCACCTACCTACCAGTCTCCTATTCCCAATCACCAGACCTTCTCCAAAAACTTACATCTGTTTTCATTTACCTCATTAGCTCCCCTGCATATATACTACACTGTAAAGTGTAACTTGTTTCAAATTAAAAAAATATGGGTGAAAAGGCTGCCTTAAAACAGCAAGTAAAAAAATGCAGTTTGTTCTTCTAACACAACCGAATGTTATCTCTAGTAAATACTGCATGTCTTCTATAGGAAGCAGTTTAAACATACACATTTATGTCAGCTTAATTCAAATGGGCTGACATGTAGACTTTTGCCTGGTTTATTTGATTTAAATCTATTAATTTATTCAGGGTTTTATGTCCATTTTAATGTAAGCAATGTGGCTAGCTGTGTAAAGCTTGTCTCCTTTTTTTCTAAGTTGGAATAAGGATAACTTTGCATACTGCAATAACATGAAGAACCTGTCTCTGTTGGGGCCACTTTGTACCATAGTCAGTACAAAGACATCCTGGTATGCTGATCCGAATCACTTTATTAAAGTTTAAGTGTACAGGACCAGGGACTGAAGTCAACATTAACCTTAATCACGGTTACAGCTGTTTTCATTAGTAGGAAAAGAAACAACCAGGACATTACTTAACATTTATTAAAAACACTCAGCAAAATTCTATCCTGAATGTTTTCTTCAGCATATCAGCATCCACATGCATTTTTGACAGGAAATGCATTTTTCTAGTTGCGTTTGATATTGAATTGATGTAGGTGTGAAAACCCTCAATGCCAATAAAATGAGGGTCAACAGACAAAAACAAACAAAAAAATTAGACCTAAGTATTTAGTCCTATATTTGCATTCACAGAAAGTCTGAGGGACCATTATCATGAGCTGTTGCGGTGACACATGACTCAATCTAATAGTGTGAATTCTGATTAAAGTTTTTTTTTACAGCACTATGCAAAAGTCTTAGGCCACCATTAGTTTTGCTGTTTTAGCAAGGTTATAATGATAATTTATATTTATTTCTATCTTTATTAAGATACAACCATGAAATACAGGAAATATGTACCCCATATTAATTTCAGAACCAAATGATTTCTAGTCCAAAGTCAGTATTTAGTGCAAACTCTGTTTCCACTTAGCTTGAACTTTTTTGTGGGGACTGTCTTGAAGAACTGACACCATGACAGACCCTCCACCACGTTTCACTGAAAGCTGCCAGCTCTCATTTGTCTACCTCCCTCCAACTCTTCTTTTCACATCCTGCCAACGACCAGACTGGAGTCCATAATCCTCTTCACTTCAATCTCTGCAAGCTTTTGCTTATCTCATCCTTTTCTCCCTGTCCCCACTGTGACAAAGTGGTTTCTTGGCTGCTGTCCTTCCACCAAAGCCGCTCCCGATTGAGCTTCTTCAGGCTATGGCAGGATCAATTTGGTGTCCAGATTAAGCTACCAGATGCTGAACCAGGTCACTGTTGGTTCCTCCGGTCTCTCAGAGAAGAAACTCTGAGAAACAGTTTTCTTGGTCTCCACTCCTGTTTTTGTCTGTGACCTCTCCGGATTTTTCAGATTTCTTTAGAACAGCTTGAATATTATATCTTATTACTATATCTACTATACTATATCAGTTTGTTGAGTTTTTAGTTTTTGTATTTTTGAGAACCAGTTGTATTTTGATAAATATATACATCTAGTCATCATAACATTGCTAGAATAATAAATCTAATAGTTGTCTGAGAAGATTGCACAGTATTGAACATAATAATGACACCAATAAGGAATAATTGCAGTAGTTACTGGGGGGCAGAGAAACACTAAGTTTTAGAGATATCTGTGACAAAAGCTATAGCTATAAACTGAACCAGTGTTTTTGTCATTTATTGTTGTTCTGCAACAAGTGTCCAAAGTCATCTACATTTGTCTGTTAGTGCTCCACATCCTCTTTCCTCTTTAGCCATACTACACAGTCTGAACTGTACACAGATTTTTTGTCTAATCTCAATTTACCTCATTGCCTGTTCAACATTCTTGTTCTCTTTGACTGAAGTCTCCATCCATGTAACAAAGCCGTTGGCCTTACTGAACCTGTTGATGCTGTCTGCTGACACAACCCGCTGAGTGAGGTCACACTGCACAGACACAGACAGGCAGGAAAGAGCAGAAGGACATTTGGCTATTATAAGGTGAATGCTTCAGGATCTTGCATGGCTGAAGCTGATGTTCTATGTGATGTGGTGGATATGAAGAAGTTTGGTGTAGTTATAGAAACATCATATACACTAATGGTGATTATCAGTAAAAAGTACTTCAGTGTGATGTTTCAGGTTTCAAGAGTGCACCAGCTAGAAACAGAGCAGTTTTCTCTATAATACCAGATACGTCCACAACATCTTGTCACACATGAAAGATTTTATGTGTATTATTGTGAACACAGTGGATATATGTGCACAGTACACAGTAAATATATGGATGTGTCTGGTGTTTAACAAAAACGTTGAAAACAACAAGAGAAGATGAAGTTCAAACAACAAACTTTCAATACACAATATTATTTGTCCACAAAAGCTGCTGATTTTTAAAAGCTGAACTGTGTACAAAGAAAATGATAGATCAGGGCTCCAGCCAAGTTGATGGTGGAAAAATGTATGCCATGCATTAGATCTAAAAATGAATTTGTAGGAAATAAACAAAAGCCAATAAATTAATTAAAAAAAACCTCAAACTCTATTAAACTTGATTATTGACTGATTTTGAAATGATTTGAGTGAAAGATTTTGATCATTCTAAGCTTTTCTTTCTTTGGTTAAAATTTGCAGTGTCTTTTCCTGTCTTGATGATAATGATGTTATAATGTTTTCTCTGCTAAACAACACATACAACCCCAAAGCAGAAGAAGTTAGGACAGTATGTAAAATCAGAGTTAAAACTGAAAGTACTGATGTGTATTATAATGTCCTGTATTACAATGAAAACAACCCAGTAGCACATTATCTGATGTGTCTACCTCATCAAGTTTATTCTTTGTTTAAAATAAACTCTTGTAAAACATTTGTTGCTCATAATCTAAGTTGTGTGTGTGTACTGGGGGTGTTTGGCTTGTTGGTTATATCTTCCCCAGTAAATGTGTCAATTTATTGTAACAGTCACATATAGTTCATGAGTTTGTTCCTTGTTTTGTTAAATAAATGTGTCGGCTTCCCTTTGGTTTTGCCTGGACATTTGCATTTTGAGTCCATCTGAAAAGCAAACCCTGACCATTTTCATGATAAATGATTCATTAATTAAATGCCCTGAATCACCTTGTTGGCCAGAAGGATGCAGGGGATGGAGTCTCCATTGAGCAGCATGGCCTTATTGTCCAAGTCCTGTTTCCAAAGACGACAGTTGAGAAAACTGGATGAGCTGGTGACATCAAACATCACAACACAGCCCAGGGCACCTTTATAATAGATCCTGGTCATGGAAATGAAGCGCTCCTGCCCTGAGGGAGGAGACAGACCTCACTGTCATCCATCTATCCATTCTTTCATACCTAGTGAAAAAATGTTTTGTACCTGCAATATCCCACAGCTGCAATCTGACTTTTTCTTTTTCTGACCAGTTCAGCAGCTTCACAGAAAAATCTACTGGAGAAATGAAGCAAATTTTTATATTAGCAAAAAAGAAAAAGAAGAAGTGAAATATGTGAGAAGTGAAAGAATTAAAAAAGTGACATCTATTTTGGTTTAGAGCAGGGGTGGCCAATTCCAGTCCTCGAGGGCCGCTGTCCTGCTTGTTTTCCAACTTCCAGCTTCTGACTGACTGACTGAACACACCTGAGCCAGGTAATCAGCAGCAGGTCAGGCATGGATAGTCACCAGCTTTAGAGCACCAAATATGTATTACAGTAATCTGTAGCTGAAAATAGTTCGCAGAAAATTAACTACTAATATATATATATTTAATGTCAATATTCTGAAAGATTAACTAACTAGTTCAGGTAAGGTTTAGTATGCTGTATATTTGCTATCTTCCCAGATTTAGCTTGGACTTTCTGAATAAAATGGATTCAGATTGTCATTTTTGAGAACCTCTCTCACCATTTTGGACAAGGTTGCTAATGTTCCATGTTGTAGAGAGGTACAAGGTTTTCAACACAATGAAAAGTTCATGCACACACATACACCAAACCAACAATTCTGAACTGGTATAGTCACATTTCTCCAAGCTAAGCCATACCTCCCACTGTCATCTTGTACGTCTTGTTGAACTGTCCGTTGACATACCGATGCACAAAGGAGGATTTCCCAACATTTCCATCACCAATAATCAGTATTTTCAGCAGGTGCTCAGTCACTGCTGTCCTCCAACCAGACAACAACATATGGGAAATTCCAGCATGAAAAGAAGCCAGCAGCTCAAAGTTCAAACCTTATATCAGGAAATGTGATTTGTGAAGAAGAAGCAAAGTTGTTTACCTCTAACTAAACAAATACCCAACCACTACCCACCTGGATTAAGTTCACATGAGCCTTTCCTTTCCACATATTGACTTGATGACATCTTAACTTCCATTCAGGCTTTAAATTGTAACTTACTCTACTGAGTTTAACTATAAACATCTGCCTCTAAACCCAAAATGATTATTATGATATCCTTGTTTTGCTATACTATGCCAACTCTAAGCTTAAAATGTTTTTCTAGCCCTAGTTTATACAGACTGTTGACTGTCCTTGTCTCTGTGTAGTACAGTGCGCTGATCTGCATGTTTTGCTTTCTGGAAGGAAGTTGCAACAGGCCATAAATAATTTACTGACATAAGCCACACCTTCGTGCAACAGGAAACTGTTACTCAATCTGGCAGGCATTGGTTAACCTTTGATTTTCTCTTTATTCTTTTGTCCTTCATTGTTTGAAATTCATTGTCAGACACACATTTGCAACAGGAACTGCAATGAAGGTAAGGTAAATGTTAAATGACTGGAAATTGACACACATTTGCAACAGGAACTGCAATGAAGGTAAGGTAAATGTTAAATGACTGGAAATTGCTCGTAGGAGGAAAGATTAAGGAAGGTGCTGAATTTGCAACCATTGCCTATTTTAACTATGTACTTGGGGAGTGATTAAAATAGTTTTTGTTTTCCACACTGCTGGATAGATTTTGGTGATTCTTACATTTCACTGCTGTGTTTTAGCACTGTCAAACACTCACTGGCCCATGAGAGGCACTGCTGTCACACCACTATACCCAATGTGTTAATATGAATGAAGCATCATAATCACAAAATTTCAAATTGTGTTTTCCAGCAATGGGCCTTACTCAATTGTAGAAAAGAAACCCTATAGAATTACAGCAACAATTTTCTTAGTCTTACAAACACTGAAACTAGTATATGATTATGATTTTCTTTTCTTTTCTCTGTCCTCTATCTATTATTAATTATTGATTGTTGTTAATAAAAAGGAGAATATTAATGGCACTTCTGTGATGAGATGCAATCTCTGGTATCCTGCCTGGATGTCAAACAAACTCATCTGCCTTACTTTCTGCACATGCTGCTCCCATGCAGCATACATTCTCTTATTATATTCTTATATATTTTTATTATATCTCTGCATTTGCTGCTTAAAGTGCCTTAGATTTTGTTACTTATTCACCTACTTTATATTTCATTTGTATTTTGTGGCATTCATGTAGACGGCAAAGTAAGAATTTCATTGTACAGGGAAACACGTTTCCTAACTGTGCATAAGACAAATAAACACTTTGACTTTCTGCCTGGACATATAAATGATGCACTACAGCCTGCACTGGCTCTCACTGCTGGCGTGGGCCATGAATCATGAAGTACAAAAATGTCCAGTGTGAATGCACTGTGAATTCTACTGGGCTGACTTGGCATGCCTCGTCCTCTGCCTCTTTCTGTTCTTATGTACCGCTCCTCCATCACTACTCATCCTCCCACCATCATCCTGCTTTTCTCTGGTCTTAATCATTTTCCATTTTTGTTCATACACACGCTGCGATGTGTGGTCTTGACCACATTCAGAATTTTACTGCTCTGCCAATTAGACCATTTTTCCTGGCTTCTGAGCATGTTTCAGTCCCCCGTTGATGCTGAGTCATTTTTGTGACTCCATGTTTTTTCCTGTTTGTGTTTTCTTGTCTTGGCTCATATGTGTTTGTTTCAGTATTACTCAAGTTTTAATAATAACCTTCTCAACAAAATCAGCCAGCTGTTGGTGTGTTAAGTGTTCTGTAATATTAGTTTGTTCCTGAAAAAAAAAAAACACAACAGACAGGTGTAGATTTTTAGGGGAACCATGGATTTTGAAAGTGACTTCTGTTGCATAGTCTACCTGAGGCTGGAGCTTGTTTGAGCTTGTTTGTTTGATAAACAAAGTTAAAATGGGACAGATATACCCCCCTCTATGACACCCTGTTCCTTACAGTGCTTCTGTTGTTGTTCATGTTTCTCCACCCTCTTTTTTCATGGTTGGTCTGAACATTAGCCCTGCCCAACCAGGGCATGGACTACCTTGCTGAACCTGCTGCCACTGTGACCTGACCCTGGATGATAATGGATGAATGCATCTTTACCTAATGGTGCATTGAGATGCTTTCCACTTGAAAAATTGTGTCCAGGGTGTGAGGGGTTTGCAGAAATCTTCTGTGCCCTTCTTTTGACCCGTGAGGTGTACAGGTCCTCCATGGAGGGCAGGCTCGCACCAATTACCTTTTCTGCAGTCCTCACTGTCCACTGAAGTCTGTACTTGTCCTGTTTGGTTGTTGAGCCAAACCAGACAGTGATGGAGGTGCAGAGAACAGACTCAGTGATTCCTCTGTAGAACTGTATCAGCAGCTCTTGGGGCAGGTCGAACTTCCTAAGCTGGCGCAGGAAGTACATACTCTGCTGTGCCTTCTTGATGATGGTCCTGATGTTGGATGTTCACTTCAGGTCCTGGGAGATGGTGGAGCCCAGGAACTTGTAGGACTTTACTGCTGATACAGTGCTGCCAAGTATAGTGAGGGGGGTAAGGTGGGGGGCTCTTCCTGAAGTCCAGTGTCATCTCCACTGTTTTGAGCGTGTTTAGCTCCAGGTTGTTGTGACTACACCACAGGACCAGCTGCTCAACCTCCCGTCTGTAGGCTGAGTCGTCCTCATTGCTTAATTCATTTTCCGTTTTCACCTTTTTAAAAAGTGAAACAAAGCCATGTAATCATTTGCTGTTGTGAATGGGTTAAATAGAAAAGCAGTTCCTCTGCTTCATTGCTTTTTCCTTCTTTCCTTTCAAAAGGGTCACTGAACATTTTATCAACACTAATACTAGAAGAGGAAGAACTCTTAATTCAAAATAAAAGCCCACAACAGCAGAAGTATGAACTCATTTCTGATGATGAGGGCATACCTGCATGTTGACAGGATTGTAGTATCCCAAAGAAGAGTTTGAGAGATCCTTAAACTCATCATTTGAGCTGCTGCAGCCCAGGTATGGAGCCAGGCTGTGGCTAGGAAAACATACTATGTGACATATCCTAATAGTTTGTGGCACATATATGTTCATATGCATTTCATTTGGTAATCAGGGGTCAACTCATATTGCTACTGTATGTACTGGTTGGAGTATTATTGGATGGGTAGTGCACACTCACAATTTCACTGTGCATGTGTTAAAATTCAAACTTTTACACAATATCAAAGGTCAAAAGTCAAGGTCAAAGTGTTTATTTGTCATATGCACAGTTAGGAAACGTGACCTCTTCCAGTTCTTACATTGTTCCACCTTTCATCATCTTCCCCTTCAATTTTTTTACTCTGTCTTTCTTTTATTCAAAATGTTTGTAACAGTTATGAATCTATTGGTGTAAATCTTTCCATGTAATGAAGTAATCAATTATTCTAATTAATTCTTAATGTTTTACAGGTGGGGGTTTGTGATATATGCCGGTATTGATGGGAATTCCAGACTAATCACTTACATCAACTGCAGCACAGACAACACAGCTTTGACAGTGTTGACTTGTTTTGTTCGAGCTGCCTTTCTGTTTGGGTTTCCCTCCAAAGTCAGTACACTGTACACAACCAATGTACTGAACATCTTTGGAGAGATGTTTTTCAGCAGGTTGTGCACTACTCCACACACCTTTCTATTCGTTTAAAGATGAACATGAACATGAATAATGCTCAGAAAATGGCATTACAAATAGTTTAAACCATAAATCCAAAAACAACTTGATTTATTCAGACATACTTGGAGCAACCATACAATCAGCTAACAACCGTACACCAACACAAATTTGGTAGTTTTATTCTTAAAGTGTTTCCTGTTCTTTGTTATCTCACCTGCCTCAGCTTTACTCCTGCCATTGCTCACCAATCATTGCCTTCACCTGTTACTCATTGTCTGGATGTCTCAACCCTTTTTATTCTCTTCACTTCTCTCAGTTACAATAGCTGTTAGTTCATCTGCACGCCACACCCTGCTTTGCTCCTGTTGTTCCTGCTGTTATGTGAATATCTCCAGTTTTGTTTAGCACTTGAAAGTTTTGGCCTTGTCCCCCTTGCTTTGTCTACTTTGTTTATTTTGGACTTTGCCTGCCACCTTGGGTTTTTGATTTGTTTCCTTTAGTTTGTTATTCTTGTTACATATGTTTCCAGTTCATTGTAATGTTCTCTGACTGTGGTGCTGTTAGTTTCTTTAGATGTTTTTGTGTTACATTTTGTCAGGTAGAGCTTTTCAGCTTACCTGTTTGTCTTTTTGTTTTGTGATACTTTTATTAAACCTCGTTTCTTTCTGAATATGTTTGTCTGCATTTTGGTTCTCCCTTAAGTCTGACCCCGATGCCATATTGTCTTTTTCTTTGGTTCACATAGTGCAAACTGACTAGATGTTAGTGCTGTCTGTTAACCAATTTTTTTCATGGTACTGCTACTGTAAACCTGCCTGATGTCAACTATGTATTTTCAAATCCCAAAGAGTCTCTTATGGCCTGGGAAAGCATTTGATGCAGTTCATCCTTCTCTGTGACGCATCTTGGCAGGTTGATGCTTAGGGTAAATGATGCTGGCCTTGTCCTGTTTCTTCATTGATGTAAGATAACTGGCATCTTCCTAAATGGGTAAAACATCATACAGTGGGACTGAGTATTTTCCATCTTAAGTGAGCCTTTTTGTGTATGTAGTGCATATACACATCTCTCAAATGCTCTTTAGAGTTTTTTTTCCAAACAAAACAAAATATTATGTGATAGTTAAAGGATCTCCTTGAATGGCCATAAAATTCAGACTGTTGCACGTTCATGTGAGCTTGCCTGACATCCATGCACCTGATTTTGTGAATACATTTTATCTCCTGCTCTATAACCAGAGGATGGGGAGAAAAATATAGGGCCTGAGGTTACTGCATGTCTGGGAATGTTCCTGTACAGAGACTCACTGTTTTACCTGACCAGGTCTAACCTACAAGCAGCCAGTCTGTGAAGCACCGTGCTGCTGTGAATGATAAGCTCATCAACACTGGATTCCCCCAGAGCACAGTTCCTGTTTGTTTTGACTGCTTGAAGCCAGTGTGTCTGCTGCATGTGATGTGATGCTGGTTAACAAGCAGATTAATGACCCATGATGTTATTGTCAGAGCTAGGCTACCTGTTGGAATTAATTTCACTACTTTGGGACTGTATGTGGTCATGTGGGGGAAGACGCAGCAACAACTGGTTGGATTTACCGACCTTGGAGCTACTTGAAAGGGAGTGATATTTCCACTACTCAGTGGGACTTAAAGGTAAATAATAAAAAAACAGTTGCATGTCTGTTAATGCCTTGTTTCTGTAATGTTATAGAGAACTGTTATAAGGCCGGAGAAGTAACTACGTCTGCATTATGCCAGTTGTCATTGGTACATATACCGTTGTTTACCTATCTATGGAGGAGAAATTCAAATTAATTAATGGCATCGCAGTTCATTGTGCTGTCCACTTGAGACACAACAATGGCAGCAGGAGTTGTGCGTGTTTATGAACTGTCCTCTGGTTTTAAGGAAGAGGCTTTTTGGCTCTCTGATTCTGAAACAATAACTATTTGGAGTTATGAGGGTGGCTGAGCTAATCTAGAGGTACCCAAGATTAAACATTAAATGGCTGGAAATGAGCAAAATGGCCATGGGGACTTTAAGTTCAAACAAAAACTAATGAGGTATATAAAGAAATGAAGACAATGGAAGATTCAGCTGATAATTCTCTAGGGTCATTACAATAAGCAACCCCTTACATGTTGACACATTATCTTTTCATACAGTGTTATTTTAAACTTTATTTTTCAATTTCCAGTTACAAACTGCACAGCATTTTACAGTTATAAATAGGCACTGTCTTCTCTAAAAAAAGTTATTTTTCATTGTAGAGATGTCTATGTGAAGCAGAAATTAACGTGTGATGGAAATTCAGCTACATCTGTCAAAATGCTTCTGCTTTCTCCTCTTAACTGTCCAGTATACACCCAGCAGCATCAGTCCAGCACCAACACCTGCAAGGGCCAAACTCAACAGTACCTGTAGGTTCAGACGTAACATAGGCATAGAGGATGAAGAGTGATGAGAGAATGGAGTTTCGGTTTTGGCATTGCTGGCAAAAAAATATTGTCAGCGTAATGCATTTTAAATGGTTGGAAGCATTTCAAGATACCTCTTAGTAATGGCCATTTACACAAGGCGATTTCACTGTTTCTTTTTTGTTACATCTTATATACTAAACAAAAACAATTAAAAACAAACATACATCCCCAAACCCACCACTCTTTACACTAAACCATACCATGTAAAGAAAAGTCATCCTGTGGTCTTGCTGGTCTGACATAGTCTGGTTCTGCTGGTTTCCAGTTGACTCCCACTGGGCCAGAGAGTTTTCATAGTCCAGATTGATAACCCCAGCGGGCAAAACTCGGACACCCCAGTAAACCCTCTTCACCCTGCGGAAGGTGGTGTCCTGCACATCACAGCAATATGTACCTGAAAGTTATATGAGTCAGTTAATAGTGTGTTTTATATGTGTACTTGCTCTTATAAAGCACTTTTATACTTTAGCATTCAAAGTGTTTTACACTACTTGCCCATTCACCCCTTCATTCTCACATTCACACAGACATTTGAGACTCCTGCTTTGTGTCTGATTGTGTGTGACTATGCATCCATGGATTTGTGTCTGCTTCTTTTGTTAATTTTGTTAAAATGACCCAATTTTCAGTACTGCATTAAGGATATTCATTTCAGTTCAATTTTATTTGTATAGAGCCAATTCATATTGTGAAATTGCATCCACTGTTGAATTTACTTTCACAAAAAAATGTTAAGAAATTTCAAACCTGTACTTAGTTATAGTCAGAAAATCTTATCGGTTTGTCAGTAGCTTTGATTGTTCAGTTGTCAGTTCTTCCTGCCCCAGACCTTGTAAGCCTACCAGGAACTGGAGTCTTACAAAATATGGCTAATGTGACAGTATGGGTCACAAATAAATGTTCCATGCCACTTCCTGTTTCTTTTGCAGATGACAATCTTGCCCTGTCTACTTCCTGTGACTGCACTTTTTTCCAGCTGATCGGTTGAAACTGGTTAATTGGTTTCACCTGTGGCTTGTTCTGCTGTCTATTTAACCTGCTCTGATCTTTCTTCCAGCTGGTAGAGTGTTACTAGCCATGTAGTGGTACTCTGCGCTCCCCTGGTATACCACCCCCGGTGTCCACCTCTTTCTGCTGTATTACCAAGACCTACCTGACAGTCTGCCATCCCAGGTTTTCTCACCTGATCCCAGCACCTTTCACCTGTAAAACCCACTGTAGGTATTCATTTGAGTCAACCATACATCTGAGTTTTAAGATAGCTGAGATCCTGTGCTGTTACTCGCTACCCCCCGTCTCTTAGGACAGCTTATAACCCTTTCTCAGGGAGTTCCCCGTGCCCAAACCATTCCGGCTCCAGTCTGCCTAAGTTTCGCTGGCTCACACATCGTCATGCTGTCTATCTTGTCCATTTGTGCAAACTACCATTAAAACTTTTAAACACTTATCCAGTCTGATTTGTGTTGCATTTGGGTCCAACTCTAACTGGCTATCTGACATACTGTAGCTGTGTTTACCTGCATCCTTCTCACTGACTGGGTCCAGAATGATACGGTCCAGCTGAGGAGCTTCCCAGCGAACAAACAGGGAGTCATCAGAGCTGATTATTCCTCGGGCGTACCGCCACAACAGCATGAACCATAAAAAAAAAAAAAAAAAAAACACACACCAAATTTCAACCTAATGGATGCTGCTGTTGTCTAAAGTGAGCTGTTACCAGGATTTAACCCTACAGTTTGACAGAACTATCTTCATGGGTCAATTTACTTGCCGTCACTACACTGCAGAATGCAACTTTTTAACAACTATGTAAGGCATTTGTTTCCAGATGTATTAAGTGTACTCATTCCTTCAAAACTGCCCCAGTTATTTCACATATTAGTGCTGGATTACCACCTGGGCAAAGTGGGCTTTGCCCTAAACACACTGGAGCCCTCAAGAAATCTCACTGGACAACTCCTGTTGTGTAGTGGGTATCTTGTTTTTTGGAATTTTTTCCAACACTGTTTATAATCAAAAGAACATGAATCATTTCTGCATTCATAATCTCTTCCCCCTTATGCCAACTCTATACTAACCTCCAGGAGAACCTCCCCATCGCCTCCATGACTTCTCCCAGACAGTTGATCTCCACTCTCTGTCCTGAAGTCACAGTCATTGTCCTGAGCCCACACTGCCATGCCTCCAGACATGGCACCTTACGAACACGGCATTTATCCGACACCTGTGATTCAGATTTCAAAATGTAAATTATTAAAGGCTGAGCTATTTACCTTCGAACCAGGATGGTAAATCCTGGTCAACTAGTCATCTAGTTAGAGATTCTTAGGATGTCTTCATGATACCTGTGTTTCGTCTTTACTGCTCACATCTTCTTCCATTGCCATCTCGCTGTCTTTTAGTAAACACAGTGTTTGAGTTTTCATCCCCAGCCCACAGGTGGTGCTGCAGGGGGAACTGTTAACAATGACCTCCACTGACACTTTATCTACCTCCTCCAGGCCAACTGAGGTCTGACAATGGACGAGTAGGAGGAAGAGGAGGAAGTTAAGTCTCAGAGACACATGTTGCATTTTGAGGTTTGATGGTCAATCTGCAGAAAAGAGTTTTGTCTTTAGATTTGAAAAGTCAAATGTCATTACAAATAATATGTTTGTCAACTTGCTAATGTACACTGTATTGATGAAGCTTCACTTTTGTGTTAACTGATGACTGTTTTACAGTTTAGAAATGTTAATGTTATCAGTTTTTGAGACCCCCCCCCAAACTCCAGCTGTTGTTTATGAGGGAACGCAGGTCTCTTTTGGGGTACACCAGAACAAGCTGAAGACCTAATATTTTACATAATATAACTTTATAAAGCTGCTAAAGGATAACATGTTAGGAAACAGCAGCCTATTTACACATCCAGCTGACAGAGTAACAGTATCCTTTATTTAGATCATGTTTTGTGCCAATAGATGAATGTCAATCCACTATTCACTCGTCTTTAGCTCTGGTTTGCTCTCCACTAACACTTGAGAAAAATATCTGCTGCTTTAGCTCGGTGGCAGTCTGTGTTATTGGTAACATAGGCAGGTGTCCAGGGTGCAAATGAGTGAAGGCCACACAAAGAAGGGGGTAGGGTGGGGGTGAATAATCACCTGACACTCAATATAAAATACATTTTATTACAGGTTAGACAGCCAGTCTCAAAATCTTTTGTAAGGTCTCAGATTTCTTTGTTTCATGGGTGTTTTGAACCTCTATAATAAGTCATTTTGCTTTTGCACATATAGGGCATATGAAATAAAAAAAAAATTTAGATCATGGATGTGTAGGCAAGACTGATCTGAGGTAAACCATAAACAGTCAGCATTTCAGTAATAAATTCCTCCTTGAGGTCTAGTTTATCATTAACAGTACAGCCTGCTAACATGGCAGAATTTTTAGGACATTTTTAATCAGTAAAATTAGAAAAATCAAGTCAAAATACTGGATGAGTACAGTATGGATGATGTAGTCACATTAAACATCAGTTTCTGTTAAGAGGTCTGTATTCCCACCTGGAAATTCTACAGATCTGGTGTACAGCAGGGAAATTGCAGTCCATTTAGGAGGAAACCTACAGAAATGATGACAGGGGGTACAGCTACAGAAATCCAGATAGGCCCTAAACAACACTGTCAAGGTGGCCAGACAAAACTTCAGCAACAACCTGGGACACAAACTCTTGATTCTACTGTGTTACCGCAATGGACAGCAAACAAGTAAAATCCACAGCTGACCCTTGTTTGGCAATTGAGCAGATTTCAAAGGCAAAGGACATTCTCCTCTTCCACCTTTCCCCCACTCATGTATAACCAACATGTAAGATCCTAGCCCCACACACTTTCCTCACATCCACCCCCGTTCCTCCCCTCCACTACATCCTCTGCTCACCACTCAGCTCAGTTACACCATCCTGTCACTCTCACCAGCCTTCAGGTCAGGATTCTCAAACAACAACAAAAGACCAGAAAGGTAGCCATTTTGGCTATGTCTCTACATCAACCATATCTAGCATCCTGACTGATGTCTTCAGCTACTTCCTGATGCAGCACACCGTACTTGCCTGCTTAAAGACTTCCATCCCTGTCTCCTGTCTGAATGACAATAGACCAGTAGCATTAACCTCCTTAATAAAGAACTGCTTTGAAAGACCCATCCTACAGCACCTAAAATTCTAAATCAACCCTGTTAGGACCCCATGCAGTTCACTTACAAATCCAATAGGTTTTACCCCCTGTCCTTCAGTAATGGATCACTCCTCTGCTCTACTCCTGGACAACTGCACCTTTAAAGTTTGCAGATGACACCACCTTAATCTGTATCATCACAAATGGAGACAAGTATGCTAATAGGGTGAACACCTGTTGTTATGGGACTGAGAGAACACCCTGGAGCTGAACACAGACAACTATAGAGATGACAGTAGAGTCCCATTCATTCCTGAGAAACACCATCCAGAGGTTGCTTAGGGCATGAAGACAGCACTGACTGTTGCTTGTTCCTCTGACTTCACCAGCTAGGAGCTAATTACTTTAATTAGTTTCTGCCATTTGAGTCTGGGCTGTGCAGTTGGTTTCTTTTGAGTTTTTTCTTTCTGAAAATAGTTGCCTGCTGTTGCTAGAAGTGGAGTAGAGAGACACCTTCCACATTACACATACTGCTGTTTTAAAGTAAGTTCAGAGCTCCCCAAAGCCAATGTGCCCTCTGATAGACTGAGTGAAATGTAACTAAAAACAGGACAAATTTTTGCAGCAATTTCGTGAGAAAATGTTGGATCTTCCTCAAGAAAAAGAAACGCCACTCTTTGCAATTTCTGTTGAAATGATTTAGCTCTGCTCCTGATTTTGAAAGCTTTTATTTTGGTTAATACTTCCTGCCTATTGTCACCTCACCTGACCCAGCTTTACTTCAGTAAACCATCACCGTTCATTGTTTTCACCTGTTCTTTGTTATTACAGCCCCTAACGACCTCCTCCTTTCCCTCAGTGACTTGTTGGTCCATTAACGATATTGACGCTGTGTGAGGCTCTGTCCGCTCTGTGTCTGCCACTCACCTATGTTCCTTGTTCCTGCCTGGTTTGCTCCTGATTTGTTGGCGACACTGTCAACTCTCTTGTCTCTGACTCCTCACCGTGACGCTGGCGTATCTCCTGTCCCTCATAACCTGCTGTGTGTCAGCAACGCTGTTGACTCTCCTGCCTCTGTCTCCTGACCTGTGAACGCCTGTATTCCCCATGATACCGGGCTGTCTCCTGTCCTGCATTACCTGCTGTGTGCTCCTGGAACCTTCACCTCAGTTCACTCCCGGCTGCTTGATTCACCTGTGTGTTCCTGACACTGTAGCTACTTTGACCCCGCTCCTGCCTACTTGCCTCACCAGTTCAACTTGCCTCTACACTGTGGGTTCCTGGCTCCTAGCTCTATTTAAGTCTCTCCCGAGGACTCCTGGCACTTCAGCTACTCCTTGGTTCTTTGTATTATATTTACTTAATAAAGATTTTTCTAAGCTCTTCCCTTGTCTTGGTCTGTCCTGGCCCCGTGTTGGAAACATAATTCAGTAAAAGACATGAAAGATCATGACTGTTTTATCAGCCTAGAAATATTGTGTTTGTTGATATCTGTGGCTTTGGTGAAAATCAGATCACATTTCATGACTAATTTATGCAGAAAACCGGGAAATTGCAAACAGTGCCATTACTTTTTCTTGCCGCTGTATCTATGACTATAAAGCGCATCATTTGCTAATTTGCTGCCTTGCTGTGTAAAGGCTGAGTAGAAGCTGCAAAGAAGTTTAAGTGCACTCACCCACCTTGTAAAAGTAAAATGAAATAGATGCTGAAGTGGTAAAAGTGGATGAGAATGAGCTCAACATGCCGCATTTGCTAGATCTGAAGACTGGTTATATTTTGGACTGAATGCATTGTCATGACAACCAGAGCTCTAGGCTGGCCTCAAGTCAAACTGTAGAAAAGTAATTTATTATTCCACTATAAAATAGTACAAAAATTGAATTATACACACAATATGCAATAACAAAAAACTATATACTGTAAAACAATACAATTTTTTTTTTCCAACTGTGTAAAGTTACATATCACTGCTACAGGCTCACAACAAAATGCTGTAATGTTTGTTCCTTGGCTCTATGTTATTGTTGATGTCTGGAAGTAGTTAAACATGTTTTTCCTTGAATGAACTTGAGAAATATAAGAAATCAAATTTAACCAGGTTTGCTTAAAAACATTTATGAATGAAAATAAAACTATATAGATGCAAAATAAAAAATAGAAAACAAATGAAAATAACTTCTGAAATAATGTCTAAAACTATGTTACCCAATGACAGCTGGAACAGAACACAAAGTCATATTAAACTTTATTAAATGTCAGTTTGAGGACTGAAAATCATGTGTAATTGGAATAGGATTCTGACAAGATGGTCTGTGGTGCCAATGTAGTTTTTCTCTGATGTACTACAGAAAAGCAGGGAGAGCATAATTTTTAAATCCAAACTCTTGGAGACTGAACAGTTTCATGGTATTTGAAACAGAATTTCTCATGACAAAACCAGTGAACACCAACGTGCTGTGCAGCTCATGCTGTAGTTTGTAACACGGCCACCGGATGTCAGACAAACACCAGCAAGAAACCACAGAAGGCAGCATACTAGTACTGTACTGTGGGGTACCTTGGATTTAGGTCTTTATATTAATGTAACAGTTTAGGTCAACATATTGAACAGATACTGGCTAAACACTGAACACTGTTATATCAGTACTCTTTTCAACTGCAACAAGATCAGTTTTATTTGTATAAGGCAGCATCACATTCTTTACAGGGCCACACCAGCAGTGTTGCCTGTCCCAAACATAACTTTCTCACAAGACAAGAGAGCAAAGATGATGATAAAGACCCAGACTTTTCTCCATGGCCTTTCTCTACAGGAACCTGGAGGGCAGAGTAGCCAGGCTCTGGTGGGGTCCACCTTTATACTGGTGTTGGTTTGGTTTGACTCGATCAGATGTGGCTTTTTAATTTTGGTTAGTGTTTGCTGGAACAGAGCAAGCCTCTCCCACAAACTGCCCAAATACAGACAGCACATTTGTTATGGTTAGTCCCCCTCACCAGGAGGGTGAGGGAGAACTGGGGTTGGACTCAAGATAGCTGACCCAGGTGCTAGTACAAAAAAAAGGTGGTTTATTGTGTAAGATTTGAGTCTTATAGACTCTAGTTACTTTATCAGCTTTAGTTACTTCTCATACCTGTAGTTCCTTTTAGTTACCTTTCATAACTTTATCTTACTTCTTTATGCATATTACAGCTGTATTGATGATTGTCCAGAACTACTGAGCCTTGGTTATTTTAATGCATTTGTTTCCCTTGCTTATATATCTTACAGCTGTAATGAAGCAGAATCTGCTTACTTT